GGGGGGGGGGGACGAGACGGGCAGTAGGAACAGTGTAATCGATCCGCCGCACGCGGCTATCGCTGAACATTTGCCTCGTTATAACAGTTCTAGCGTTCCTCGTACAGCTAAGTCGCAAAGTAATAATCGCATAGCTCAATCGCTATGCGATTATTACTTTTGGCATGATTCACTGTTAGTTCTTTTGTTCCTGTATTTCTTACTTGCTGCTGCATTCCGCTACAATCCTTCGCGCGCGGCGTCTCTCTCACCGCAACGAGACAATTTTGTTCCTACTGCACCACACCCGGAGATGACGAAAAAAATTAGCCAACTCCCTCGTAAAAGTGTTTTGTGACAATTTCTCTATAATTTGTCCTCGGAAGGAAGTGGAGGCAAGACTAAAGGAGGAACCATTATATGGCTGAACTTGACTTAGCCTCAAAATCATTGAGGGTGGCATCAAAACAATTAGGTAGATGCCCTTTCACAATCTACGAGAAATAGAAGTCAGCTCAGACCAAGTGCGCATGCCATTAGAAAGAGAAGCATGAAAAAGGAGACAAAGTAAGCATTCGAGATGTTCAAGAATGACGGACTTCATGACTCGACCAGTCGTTCTCTCAAAAATAATATTTCACTTCAAAATACCTTTTCAACGGAACCAAACGGAACCGAAATATACATAATTCAAACAAAACGCACTTCTTGTTTTTCCGATTGAAGCACCTTGTGATGAATTGGTGACATTTACTTCCATTGTCATCAAATTTTCTGTAACAATAAAGAAGTTAAATTCGTTCTCTAACATGTACTATTAAGTTGTGGTATCTTCTCCCCGAAAATCACGTCGCGCCCGCCGCACTCGAGTGCGTGCTACGAAGGAAAAGGATACGGTAGCCGCCTGCCGTGGGAATTCGAGAAAAGTACCGTCTCATCCGTACCATTAGAAGGCAAAAAAGCAATGGAAATGACCTGCATATACATATCGTTGGCATTACTGGAAGAATATGTCCTGGTGCAGTTGCAACAGTTTGTGTATGGTTGCAGAACATCGAATTCCAATCGGGAAGACATGAGCACGGCGAGTTGAACGTGGCACTCCGTCGAAGATATGGATCTACAATTCGCGGAGGGAACATATCTGGAATGTCGAAAATCATAAAAAGTTAAAAGTTGTCTCTGAACACGTTCATGAATCAAAAAATGCGAAAGAGCTTCTTCAACTTATCATCGGGTTTTCTGCCATTTCCTTGGTTTCATTAGTGAGGGTCTTTTTGATCACGTCACTTCATTTCTTTTGTGAAGCATCACGTAATCAATTCTCTTTAGCTTTGAACCTCATTACTCTTATAGAATGATGGTCTTATGACCTTCTTAGCCTCTTAGTTTCCCTACTGTCGCAAGCGCTGCTATCTCATTTGAGGTAGACTGAAGCTGGTGGTCTGACCGCTCCGTTGTCCTTGTTTTTCAAACAGTTCAGTCGCATCCAGCTGAAGGATCATCTGAACATCCTCACTTCAACGGAGCGAAGTTGCTACTCATGTTTCTTGTTTACAGGGAAATTCGCTGCAGCAGCTGCTGCCGCTCATCACTGCTCGGTAAACCTTTCCATGGAGCGTCTTGCTGTAGTCGACCGCCTCCATTCCATCGTGCTGTATTTCTTCGAACCTTTACAGCGTGGTCCATGGTACCTCGGCGATTGGGATACACCCTGGGCATAGTGAACTGCACTCTATCAATAGCTTTCTAAAGACAATGCTCAGCCGAATCCTCTTCTGATAGCAGGTGGTGCCACTTCGCCCGCTTGTCCTAGTGGTTTCTATATCCTCCACTGAAGGTGCGATGTTGTCAGAGTAAAGGATGGCCTTCACCGGTTTGGTAGCGGGTCCTCTTGGCGAGGCCCAATATTAACAGGAATAGGAACAGATTTAGAACTTGATCCTGAGCTAATTTGAGGAGTGCGAATAGCTACTCCGAAGCTATAGGACACCTCCCAGAGAATAGGTGCTCGGGAATATTTCGCTCACAGTGCTTTCTTGAAAGCACTGTTCGTGTGGTAATCGAAGTTCGTTTTCAGGTTAAGAAAGACTACGTCCGCTGGCTTTCATCGCTCCATCACCTTGTCTTCTCTATTTCCAACTCGAATCTTCTCTAGAACACTGAAGCATGATCTCCATAAGATTCCTCCAAGTTTGCTGGATCGATTTTGGGAGTCTGTGAGACCAGTCACCAGTATTCTTCGTTTAAGGTCCTCCTTCTTAGATTGTTGCAGCTTCCAGCACCGAATTTTCAATTCCATTCCTATACTTCCTTCTTGGGGAGCTTGACGGTTGTGTCTAATAGAAGAGGACCGTGCTGCGGGGTCAATCCTCCCCCAGGCAGTACCTTCATATCCTTTACAATTCAAAGGAGCAAACTTCTTCAAAGCGCACAATCTGTTGTCTCCTTTCACCTCCGGCGGACAGGCAAAAGTCTGAAATGAGGAGGGGAGAGGGGGAGGAAGGGGAAGACCTTCACCTCATCAGTGAACACCCTCTCTCCTTCCCCATTCCTGGCTTCTATTCCTTTACTTCAGTGAAGCTTCCTGAGACTCAAACCCACGTGGCCATTCAGGTTATTCGCTACGGATGGGTGAACACATTTAAATCCTGCGTTGCGGTCTTCCCATGAGTCGAAAAAAGCTCACACTTTTCATAGTCGAAGCAACGGCCTGAAGTGTAATTTTTGTTCAGTATCCCTCTTCGTGTCTATCCTCACAGCCATAGTCACTGATACGGTTTACCCGAAAAAAGCCATCGAGGGACTGCACCACTACCATGGACACAGCGTTTCGTATGATGTCTTCTCCACTGTAGTAGAGCTAGCCCCTCCCGAAACTAGCCCACGCATACTGTCCACACAATTCGGACGAGGGTTATGCCCACATCAGGGGGGGGGGGGGGGGGTGCGCTTCGTTGCGCGCGTCCGTCTAAACTAGGTCACGCCGCAGCCGTCGCATGCGGCAGGTCATCCCGCGATACTTGACGGACGTCGCAGTTGTCAGTGGGGCACACGACTTGCACTTGGTCCACGGCAGTCAGATCAAAGAGAAATTAACATCCATGTTCGACTCTCGATGAATCTTGGCATAGCTTTGCATTGATGTTATGACTTTTTGCCTTTTTCGAATTTGCCTGACACCCAATTGCGTGGTCTGCCCTAATGGACAGGAGGGTGAACGCATGACATCAGGCGTCGTTTACCTGCTCACATGCAATCTATGTGAGGATGAATATATTGGAGAGACCGGACGACCCCTGTGCGTCAGGGTTAAGGAACATCTGGAGGGCTTAAATCGAGCAAGGGTGGAGACCCCCCTGGGTGCTCACCGAGTAGAGTCCCATAAAGGAAGGTGCGGTGTTTGGAATTACAGTTAGGATCCTATTGCGGGAACCCCTCACTTCGGCGCGAAAGACACTTGAGGCATTTTTCATCAGCGCCAAGTCCCCAAAAATGAATAGGAAAGAGGAGTGCCTGGCCGTAGCTAATGAACTCGCGCCTTTCTCTGGCCTCTGTGGGTTTTGTTTGCCCCCAGTATCACGGCGAGAGGGATAGGGCATATCATCCAAAGCTACCCTAAGTGCCTATGGGTCAGTTTAGCGGCGGTCGACCAAACGACCGGCTGTTCTTAAAGGTGGGTTAAACATGTTTGGGGTTATCATGCCAGTTTGGAGACATTTAGTCTAGGGAACCGGTTTTCTGAGGTTTATTTGTTGAATGAAGGATGGATAATGATAATACACAGGTTTCCAGGCTCTGAAGAAGGCGATTACGCCGAAACGTAAGTTGATAAGAACTTATTTAACATCTTGGCAGCAGGTTTTAAAAAAGTCATAACATCAAAGAGAAATTAACACGGACAAGTGCGAATCATTTGCTCCACTGACACTTGGTGGTACTGTAATGTCATCTCGAGACCTCAGTGGGGTGCGCTGCGCGCGAAGTGGGCGGGGTGACCTACTTTCGACGGACGCGCGCAACGGACGTCTCCACATCAGGGTCACGTCCTGACGTTGTTCTTGATTACATTTGTGCCTCTTACCAGAACTATTGTGACGGAGGTTGCCCATCGGCTGGCTTGTTAACCTGAACCTGACGCTAGTATCGCCACCACATTTGGAAATTCTGCACGGCATGGTTTTTGCCTCCGCTAGAATCGAACTCATGGCTTTCCTCTGTACGGAAATGCTCCCACTATATTATCCACTCCGCCACTGCTGCTCTAATTTTCGTATTCGCAGAATATTTAACATGAGAGGATAAAAGACGAAGTCTTCGGTTTTGATTAAACCCATATTTAGGATGCGCAGCGCACAATCCCTTCCTGACTGGCAATTTGAATGCGTGTATGGCTTATACAGCGGCTTGCGATGGTCAGCCGATATCTTTTATCTTCCCAGACGAGTCCAGTACCATCTAAGGAACTCCGGCGGGACGCAAAGCTTAGTTAGCGATACCCGGTTTGAACCCATGACCATGCGTGTGTAATAGTGCGCCACCTACCACCACACAAATATAACTTTGAAGTGTACATTCCATGACCTCATTGGCTTACTGAGCCTTTCATTAGCATAGAGTAAAATAAGTACCAAAAACTGAATATATCAATGAATTTGTAAGCTATCTTTCCTACTGCATCAGCAAAACCATTGATAGGAACTTTCGCGAAATGAAATACCTGAGCTGCAGTGAAACCGCTCGCATGCTACTCCACAGCATAACGTCCTCGTGAAGGTCGTTATAGTCGTCAATAATGGCAGAAGAATATTGGAAAGTCTGCTTGCAGAAGGCAGTGAATTCGCTCTCATGACTCAATCAAGAGTACTGATTCGAGATCTTGAAGTACATCTGAAAACTGCGTAGGTGGGATCGATGCTCACTCACACGATGATAACAGCCGGATACGAAGGTAGGATCAAAACAGAAAGTTTGGAAGGAAGTCTATGAGTAGAGGTGATTCGAAACGCTTGCAACGCTGTTAACGTTCATCGTCGGGCTTGACCGATGGGACTTTGTGTTGCCTTCCTTACTTTTCAAGTCGATCACTTTAATATTTCAGCAGTGATCACCCGGTGTGGTGCAACAGGAACGAAAATGTCGCTCGCGGCGAGAGGGACGCTGCGCGCGAAGGAATGTGGCTGAGTGCTTGCTGCTGCAAGTTAGAAATGCAGAAGCAAAAGAATCATGCAAAAAGCACAGTGATCAAAAGTAATAATTGCACAGTGATTGAGCTGTAGAAAGAGGGCTAGAACTGTTATAACGAGACAAATGGTCCGCGACAGCCGCGTGCGGCCGATCGAATACACAAAAGCGCCCCTATTGCCCGTCTCCCGTGATCACCTACACCCCACAATAATTGTTCACCGACCAGAAATGACCTCGTTGCAACGGCAGAGATTTGTGTGTCACGTGTTTGTATTTATCAACCAGCAATCCATGAATGAATTGATGCCTATTTGCATGAAACAAAATATCCAGCAACAATCGTTAATGAAAATTTCAACCCGAGTTTATTGGGGCAACTTGTAGATTTTTGTAGTGGTGGGAAAATGCGGGATCCGTAAGGTCTTACGATCATCATTTCGAAGAAGGACACTTATATGTACTGTCGAGATACAAGCGGTAATTAAAGCCCTGGGCAACCAGGGTGTTCCTACTGAATACATAAGGATGCTTCGTGATCTCTACGACGAAAGCTTCACGAAAAGGATCTCGCCATTCTATAAGGAAGTCATTATCAAAGTGGAGAGAGGTGTTTGGCACGGCGGTACCATTTCGCCCAAACTTTTCAGTGCCGCTTCTAAGAACATCACCCGTGGGTTGGAATGGGAAGACTTGGGAGTGAAGGTCGACGGCCGCTACCTACATCACCTCCGCTTTGCTGATGACATCGTGCATATAACACCGGACATCGAGCACGAACGCTTGCCGAGTTCGATAGCGCTTGTGAAAAAGTCGGCTCAGAACTGAACCCAGCGAAGCCGATGCTTATGAGAAACGGATTGGTACCTGATGGTCCCTTCACGCTGAACGGAATGATTATCTCCAAATGCTCTAGCTACGTGTATCTAGGTCGAGAAGAGGTTACACAAGTGTTGCATTCATGCGAATTAACTGAAAGGGAACCTCAACAACTGATGATGAATGGTCACAAATAGGGGCATGCAGGAAAAACATATGAAAAACGATGCGAAGGATATCTGAAATGACATTGGTCATGCCATTTTTTCGCAATAAGTCTCAATCGTATCAATCAATATTCTGAATATTTCGATGACGAACGTTCAAGATAAGCAGCAACCAAGAAGCAACCTTTTAAAAAATAGGAAAAATAAGTATGTGTAGTAGTGGGAAAATGACAAGTTCTAGCATACTTTCAGGAATGTTTGTACTTTTGAAGTGCGGACCCTAAAAGCTGAATAATGCTGTGTACTAGTATTTTATTCAAGGGTTTTAGGTCATTCACCTCCTCAGACAGATGTTCTTGAATATGCTAGAACGTTCAAGAAAAAGGAATTCATGAGGTGAAGAGAGAACTGCTTAAATATTTATGTTTTTTATTGTTTTTTACAGATTCAAACGCTTTATTGATGCGGATAAGATCTTGGATAGGATAGTCTTGGAGGATGGAATAATTTCCGGAATAATTTTTCAATGTTTATTCACAGCAGTTTCCAATATCTGCTCTAACCAATCAATATTTTTAAATGTGAGAACACTTTTTCCTATTATTCCCGCCACAATGGCTTTGTAGGTGGATCTCTTTTTTTGAAGGTGGCTTAGGCAATGAATCACTAGCCTTCAAAGGCATTACGGCTCACTGCTGGTGGAAGGACTTTGCGGCACATTACTGAAGAGTAAATGAGAGAGTAAATGGGGTCCACTCTGTGCTTATCATGCATACAAAAATATCAGGGCAATGGTCTTATCTATTCTTCAGTTTCAAACGCACCCGATAAATATTTTTGCCGAAAATGAACCCCCAGTAGCCAATTGGCCAAACCCCAAAAAAAATCATCGCACACAACAAAAACTGTGGGGATCATGAATTATTCGTAAACACCGTTACCTGAGTAAACAAACTATCACGTAAACAGGTGTTATAGGATTACCCAAGGTAAACTAAACACTCGGTAACACCAAGTCAGTCTCTCACTCCTTCTATCTTTCTTGTACATCAAAATTTGTACATTCATCAACTATTCTATCAGCCAATCTTCATATTCTCACGTCTTACTGGTTTTGTCTGACAAGTGTTAAAACTTATCTTTAAGCAGCAAGGTAGTTTGTAAACGTTTATACAGCGTTTCTGAGAGGACCGATGACAGAAGATAGAGGACCGAAACTATTATTGACATACCGTATTTGGGCAGAGTAGGGGGTACCACAGAAAACAATCGATAAAACGTTTCGAAAGTCATTACTGGTAAAAGGTAAGTAGTTGCCTAGCAGACGAAACAATATAGCTGCAACATGAGGAAGAGCTACAGCAGATATTAAGAGACATCGTTATGGTTTTTCTTTACGAAAAGGGCTAACGAGCATCGGAGGCTAAGAAATATGACGATGAAAACACTAAGACGAGCAAGAACAAGTTGGAAACCTAATTGGATTCGATTGAAAGTAAGCTAGCAACCAATCCTTTGAAATTTCAATCCTAGAAAAGTTTTTAGAACTGTAACAGTACATAAACGAAATGAATTTTTCTGGCCAGTTGTATGTCGGAGGGGATCTCGATTTTTCTAACTGGAGCGAAGGATTCAACCAGATTTACGAAGATAGGCTAGGACAATAATAATAATAATAATTAAAAATAATGATATGGTCTATAGTATATAGTAACATATATTAATATATAAAGGATAAAGGATAATTTTTGGCGTCAAACAATCCTGCCAATGAGGGGTGCGCCCCGCATTAGACTTCCATTCAGAATCGTAGTGGCGTAATGAGTGCGTATGTAGGCTGTACAATGAATTGCGGTGGCCAGCCGATGTCGAAGTTACTACTTTTATCCTCCCAGACGAGTCTGGTACCAATTACCCGACCTCGCAGGGATGGAAGGCTTGGCTGGTCCGGGCGGATATGATCCAGGATTCGTAACCGCGACCACGGGTGTGTGAAGTGCGCCACTTGCCACTACACCACCTCCGCCCATAGTAATATATAGAAATTAATAATTAAGAAAAATCGTTCTTTCACTAAAGTAAAGTTTACTGTAAAAGAAATGAAGTCAATGAGAAGTTTATCGAGAGAAACGCTTGAAAGTAGGCTCGCTTTCTAATGAATTGACGAACCAATTCTGAAGTTGGTTTCAGGTCTGGATAATCATTCCAAACTACTCTTTAAATATTGAGTTGTGAAACTACATATTCGCTACCGTACACACACATCAAGCGCTGTCCGGTAGCAAAAATACAATGACGGTGTTCGTGTGTTGGTAATGGATGGCAACAAAACAGGAAGTACACGCCTAAAAACTACTAATTATGACTACTAGTTGTAGAATTTACTTGTCAAAAACTCGGAAGCTACGAAAAATTCAGTGAATTAAGTAAAACCTAACTGTTGACCTGATTTTCTAGCATTTAAGGGGAACCACGAGGAAAAGCATACTACTGTCAGGGTGGGGCTGTAAAGTAATGAACTATGTAGTACTGATTACAGTTACAAAAGTAGATTTTAGAAGAGTATGCCGACAATTTGCAGGCTATCATCCTTTCGATAAGTACCTTATAAGATCGCTGAGTGTAGGAACGAAACAAAAATAAATAAATAAAATGGGATGTAGGCTCAAGGGGAGGAAGAGTGACAATTTTAGCATTTCTACGCCTGAGTGGATGAACCTTGAAAATAGTTTTTGAGGTCGAGTGACTTGTAAATTCTACCAGTTCAAACGATAAGCGTCGGATATAATTAAACATTCAAAAAAAGAAGTGCATCTGAAGGAAAATCATGAACATTCTGGAGATATGAATCATTCTGAGAAACCCCTTTGGACGACGTCGTCGCAAAGTAGGAGGAAAGGCAAGCAGCGGGCTGCAGAGCGACATGTACAGATCGAAAAATGTCAATAAAAACGTTGACGAGGTTTCCGCTCACCTTCGTGGGAATTATCGAGAAGCAAAGGGACTAACCAAGGAGGGGTAGTCTACTTATCTTGGAACTTTGAATGGAGACCCGGATGAGTCGATAGAGTTTTGAATGCTGTTTACGAAAATGGAACTTAAAATTGCAAAATGGTTCTCCTTGAAAAGTTATGGGGGCCCGAATTCTGCTCGACAGTAGTACCAATTGGATATGCGAACTCGTCGCTTCGATATCAAGTACCGACGTGGCCTCGTGTTAGTGGTCTCGCTTCATGGGCGTAAAATGAGGGTTTGCTCCTTGCTATCGTCCGCATTTTCGCAAAGTGTTTTTTGATCTCATCAAAGGCTCTCTAAACTTTCTGACATTTCTTTAGTGAACACCTCATTCCTCCTTCTGTTTTCTCTCGTCGACGAGTGACTGTTTTGTCACCGGATGTAGAGAATCAGCATGCATCATGTGCGCATTTTGTGGAGAACACGTGTGCTTCACGCATTTTTTAAAGTTTTTCACCGATGTTGAATTTCTTCCGGACATCTTACATATCTCTGGTAACTTTCTGCTGAATGTTCCTTGAATTTCAAAATAAAAAGAGTCATACTTTTAACGTGCAGAACCACTTTCCTTGAATAGAGGCGATGAGTGAAAATAAAAGCAGAAATGAGGCGTTCACCAAAGAAATGTCAGAAAGTGTTTAGAGAGCCTTCGATGAGATCAAAAAACACTTTGCAAAAACGCGAACAATGGCGGAGAGCAAACCCTCGCATTACGCTCATGAAACAAGACCACTACCACGAGGCCACGTCGGCACGTGATTTCGAACCGACGAGTTCGCATATCCAATTGATACTACTGTCGAGCAAAATTCGGGCCCCCATAACTTCTCAAGGAGAACCATTTTGCAGTTTTAATTTCCATTTTCGTAAACAGCTTTCAAAATTCTATCGAATCATCTAGGCCTTCATTCAAAGTTCCAAGATAAGTAGACTACCCCTCCCTGGTAAGTGAGAAATAATATGATCTATTACAAGTAATCCATGGGCCATTCATGCATGCTAAAAGCCATTATCAAAATGGCTGCACAAAAAGAAAGAAGTCTACACCTATGGCAAACTAAGAGGTGGGAGATTTTGGGGTAGACAGGGCAGATATGCTGAAGAGAAAACGAGGTGAAGACGACGAAACGGGAAATATTCACAGCTGAATCGAAAGTAGAATCCAATTTGAAAGGGCATAGAGATTATTCATGACAATTTTCCAACACCACCAGTTGGCTGTGCGGGTATTGGATTTATAATACCCCCGTTACTTCATACTTTTTGTTTGTGAGATCACTTAAGGAGTTAACTCAGGTAGAATAACAAAATCGCCATAATATTTATGCTTGTAAATGTGCTCCATACAACAAAAATCTTGGTAAATTACGGTACTTACCTCAGATTATTTGTGGACTGACTTGATATTCGACAAAAAAACAGATGTTTGGAAGTGATTTACGTGGAAATCCCCTCAAATCCAGGGATCTCCCCATATATTTCCAGCCCAATGCCGAAGCGGTGTGTCCCGTGGTCAGAGAAAATGAAAATGGCTGTGATAATGAAGAAGGGCATTGAATTGGTCCAATACGAATTGGAGGCATAACTCAGGCTAAAGACTGGTCGTCAATGACAAGTGTATGCTCTGTCGTCCGGAGTCGGCTTTTCATGGCACAATGCCAGCTAGGAGACGTTGTACAAAAAAAGCGAAAATGCGTATTAGCCGAAATCGATTTGAGCCCAAAACTGATAAAAACCTGCCCCCTTGGGCAATCACTGTGCAGAAATTATGAAGACGAACCATTACAGAGGATAACTGAGACAAGCTGAAAGTAGAGTTACTGGTAG